ATCCGTGGAGACTATTTCCATTACCTCTGTCTGTCCCACAGTCACCAACACAGCATGACAACTCAGCAGAGAAAAGAGGAGAGGTGGTTGACCCTCAGAAGTCACCTGCAGGGCATGGATAGAGGAGGAAGGTGCTGGATGTCGCCTTGGAAACTCAGTCTGTGGCACCTTCTGGGCTACTTGAGTGGGTGTGATTTCTCAATGGCAGGTGGACAGTCCATAGGCTCTGCCCCCCTCACCCGGCTGACCACAGGCTCCTGTATCACGTGCCCCAGGGCACTGCGTTGGGTTCTCCAAGGGCGGGTTTCATTTCGACCTCACGTGCCTGGCCAGGTGGGCACGGCCTCCCCCGCACAGCTGAGGAGACTGAGGGTCTGAGGACAGTCTTGTCCGGGGTCACACAGTGTTGTGCCATCCAGTGTTCTCATCACGGCCCCTCCTGACCCTCCAGCCTTGGCTGCTGCGGGCCCTCAACTCACTCATGGAAATGAAGTGCTTTGAAATGCAAAAGCTGTAAGGTATTATTATGATTATAAAAAACACAGCCAATTATGGTTTTATGGGGCTGAGCTGCCCATCTGGAATTCCCTCTTATCCAGCAATCTCAAAGCGCTGGGCCAGTCCAGAATTAATTAGGCCCTGCAGCCAAGGACCACAGACTGCACCTAGAAGCACGGGGAGGGGCGGGCTGGGGCCAGGCAGGAAGCGACAGGCATTGCTCATAATCACTGCTGCCCTGCAGTCTGGGGCCCAGGCCTCCTCCTGGCCAATTAGCTGTACGGTGAGGAGCTGGGGCCTCTCCCTCCCCGTCAGGTGAGGGATGAAGGTCAGCAGCGGCAGGAACAAGGCCAAGGGCTCCACAGTTGACAAGGTGGGAAGGAGAAGGGACAGCTTTGTCCGGTCTAGAGTTTTTTGGGTCCAGATCCTGTCTGTCCCTTGTGACTGTGAGCTCCTGAAAGTCACGGGCCATGACCTGAGTCACGGGGGCTTGGAGATGGACAAGATAGGATAGCTCTAGAGGAAGGAGTGGGCATGGAAGACTGGGGGTAAGGGGAAAGCCACAGGACCTGCTACCTTGTCAAGGCTTACTAAGCTTGGGTCAGTGAATAAGTAATTGATGGATGAATGGATGGTCAGATTGGTATGTGGATAGACAAATGGATTGACACATGTATGGTGTAAGGGAGGAGAGATAAGTGGGTAGATAAATGTGTGGATGGATGAATTAATTGATGGCCATGAGGATGAATGGATGGATGGATGGATGGATGATGGATGGATGGATGGATGGATGATGAATGCATGGATAGATGATGGATGGATGTGTGATGGGATGGATAAATGGATGGATGGACAGATGATGGATGGGTGGGTGAACAAATGGGTGAATGGACAGATGGGTAGATCTGGAGAATGAGGCATGGATGAACACGGGGTGAATGTGAGTGTGTTTCAGATGCTGAGGTCATGGCCAGGCTGCAAGGGAGAGTTCACATTGGATGGATAGGTAGACAGATGGATAGATGAATAGATGGATTGGTGGGTTGGTAGACAGTGCAATACACATCTGAGTCTGTCTCAAGGAGGGACTGTGGGCAATGTGAACTGACTCTGGCAGAGACCTTGGTGGGGCTAGCAGGTCCCGAGCGGAACCTTGGCTTGCCTGGCATGATGCCCATGCCTGCCACCAACTGGGCTGCAGCCTGGGGACATCCATGGTCCCAGCTGGGACTGGGAGACTTGCAGCCTGTTCTTCATTCTGCTTTCTCAGCCTCTTGACTTTGGTTGGTACTCTCCACGTCAGACCCCCTCGGTTTCCTTGTCTGTCACACCAAGGGGTGCTGGATGAGATGGGCTTCTAAGGAAAGCAGGAGGAGGTTCCCGGGTCCTCCAGGGGGAGGTGTAGCAACCCAGCCCCTCTCCCCTCCTGCTCACAGGTTCTCCCAACTTCATTCCTGGACTCAGTCTAGGCACCTGCCATGCACCTTCTTCCCCTCCATTCTCCCAGTGTCTGGGCACAGGGCCAGGCCGAGAGATGGGTCCTGGGGAGAGGGGAACTGGCCCCAGCCTGAGGTGAGCGGGCAAGGGCTGCTGTGGCCACAGATGGCTGCTCAGCGGGCCCCTGGCAGGCTCCAGGCTGAGTCACCCTGAGTCACCACTGTCACTTCCTACCACACATTCCTTCATTCATACAGTGTCTCATTCTTTAGGCCACCTCCCTGGAATCTTTTTGAGCAG